TCTTTATGAACAAAACCCTAATTGCACAGGAGCTATCGCAAAGAATCAACAACTGGGATCTCATCTTAAAAAGCTTTTTCAAGCAAGAGAAACCACTAACAGAGTGAAGTGACAGCACCCAGAGTGGGGTTTTTGCCAGCTGTTCCTAAGAGGACTGATACCTAGAATATATAAAGAACTCAGAAAGATCACTTCTCAGATGAAGAAACAGAAACAGCAAATAAATATATCAAAAAATGTTCAATTTCATTGGTCATTTGAGAGACACAAATCAAAGCCACAATGACATTCCATCTTACTCCAGAAAGAATAGTTATCACCAAGAAATCAACCCAAAACAAATTCTGTTGGACTGTGGGGAAAAAGGAAACTACTCTACTATTGATAGGAGTGTAGACTGGTTCGACCACTGTGGAAACCAGTGTGGAGAGTCCTCTAAAAATAGGACTAGAGATTCCAACTATTCTCCTTCTTGGCATCTTCTTGAGAGAAGTAAAAGCATCAGATCATAGTGACATATGCACACCCATGCTCATAGCAGTGCAGTTCATAATAGCTAAATCTCAGAAACAGCCCAACTGCCTGTCAGCCAGTGATTGGATAAAGAAGATGTGGTATTTTTTTATACAGTGTAGTGGAGTCCCTGCCATAAAGAAGGATAAGCTTGAGACATTTCTAGTTAATTGAATATACAGAGATCATATTTTTAAGTGAAATAAATTGAGCACACATATTTAAATATTGCATTGTTTCTCTCCTGTAAGAAGCCAAAAGGGTAAATCAGGAGTGAAATGTATAATAGATACTGTGAAACAGGAAGAAAATGTTCCAATGGGAAGGGGAGGGGAAAAGGACAAGAAAAAAAGAGGATGGAAACAAAGGATTTTTAAATAAGGAGGAGGAAGGGAGTTGAATGCAGGGAAGACAAAGGGGAGGGAAAGAAGGAGCAAGTTATTATCATGTACAGATACAAATTCCCTGTGTGATAAATGTTATCATCATGTATATCTGAAATGTACCAATATAATTAATTTTAAAGTTTAAAAAAATTATCTGTAAAAAACAAAATTGGGTGCCACTTGTAAATGGGCTCTCAGTGACTTTTGTTTTGTTTTTTGAGACATGGATCACCACGTAGTTCAGGCTGATCTTGAACTCACTGTGTAGCCTGGGCTGGCCTGGAGTGGAAGACAGTCCTCCTGCCTCAGCCTCTTGGTGCTGGGTTTATAGGTCTGGACCACCATATCTGGCTGTCACTGATTTTTCAAAACAAGTTTTGGATTACTAGTCCTCACATTGGCAGCGTTGCCAGTGCCTTGGTGGACAGGTCCTTGTCACACCTGGTGGCTTCATGTTGTCCTTAACAGCGTCTGTTTCTGCTGCCCTTTTGTCACGTGGAGCATGTGGCAGGTGACCTTTGGCATCCAGCTCTTTGCTGCATTTTCACATGTGCAGCGGTGTGGGACTGAAAGACTTGTGGGGAATCTGTGCCCTTGCTCAGTAAGGCCAGGGAGCTTTTTAAAGCCTGCGTTTCGTCTGCACCCCTTGGACACAGGGGCTGACTGCTCAGTCTGAGAGAAGAGGCGGCCCTTGGGAGAAGCCTTGGTGATCCACCTTCCCTGACGGCCAGAGAGCCTGCGGGTGGACAGCACTGCATCCAGCCCCTCCCCTTACCAAGGGCCCCTTCAGCTTCTGGATGTGCACGCTGGAGCTTTCTGGAGGGGCAGAAGGTGCCGGAAGGCCTGATGGATGCCCTGGGCAGGGAGGAGAGGGAAGAATTGTTCACAGGGAAAGGACAAGGTTGTGGTAGGAGATGCAGGAGAGCAGGTCCTTAGGAGAATAAAATATGTCAAATGCTGAGAGGAAGGGGAAGTGGCTCTGAGCTGAGTCTCCTTGTGTATGTGAGGACCCTGGCAAAGCACAGATTCCTCTGAAAGTCTGGAGAGGGGAACAGTCCACCAAGGAGGTGACTTGAGCTGCTTTTGTTCTTTAGAGGGAGGAACATCCTATGCCTGGGATGTCTGAGACACTCATTAGAATATTGGAAATACAGACTTAGAGAAGAGTTGCAGTTAGATCCTCATACTCTGGAGGCTGAGGCAGGAGGATTGCAAGTTCAAGTCCCACCTAGGCAACTTAATGACATCCTGTCTCAAAATGAAAATAAAAGGGCTAGAAATATGATTCGCTGCTAACCTGAGTTTGATCCCTGGTGCCACACATGCTCATACACATACATGCATCCGTGCACACAAAGTTGTGGTTAAAGATAAAGATTTAGGAGCTAAGCAAGTAGGTGTGTTTGTGGGTACAAGTGCCAAGGGCATGCAGAAAGAGAAAGCTAATGAAGAGTTTTCAGGATGTGGACAAGACAAAATCTCAGGGCTGGGTGTGCAGCACCGTGGCTGAGTGCTTGCCTAGCACATGTCAGCTCTGGGTTCTACCTGCAGCATTAAAAAAAGAACAGACGAAAACACCAGCAACAACAACAACAATAAAACCCTGAACATCTCAGAAACAAGAGATAGCAGAAAAGGTAGTCAGAAGGTAGGATGAGAATTAGGAGAACGCAGTCTCAGTAACAAGGGAGGAGACAGTCCAAGTGGAGCCAATAAAATGCTGAGCCGTGCAGAGGTAGAGGCAGACCTCAGGTTGGGGCCTGAAATCAGTGGTAAAGGAGGTATTTACCTGGCAGAAACTGGCAGCCCCACACCTCAGAGGCTGATTCCCTCATCTGTAGGGCTGGTGAAGCACTTGCCAGCCAGTACACCTCATGTGAAGATCGGCAGGCCCAGCAGATTAGCAAGGGGCCCTTGGTGCCTGCACCTCAGGTGCAGGCAGCGGGCTGAGGGGACAAGGGAGGACCCTGGAGAGCAATGCGCTAGGTTAAGCAGCTAGGTGGCTGGTGGCAGATGCAGTGCCAGTGTCCTTGACTCATCCCTGCACACACATGTTGTTTGAGATAATTGTGTTTTCTTTTAAAACTTGTTTTAATGTACTTCTAAAATTAAATCCTTTGCTTGCTAAGTGCAGCCTGCTTATGATAATTTACTCTTTTAGTATACAGGGATGCTGAAATTATTTAATGAGCGTTTTACTTAAAATTTTATATCAATATTGATAAATGGAACTGATATTTTATCTGTATTTTTTGGTCAGACTTTCATGTCAGTATTAGGTTACTTTTAAAAATTTAATTTAGTCATTGTTTGTTGGATTGATTGATTGGCTTTTTGAGACAAGGTCTCTCTATATGTTCCAGGTGACCTTGAACTTACTATGTAGCTCAGGCTGGTATGGAACTCACAGAGATCCCTCCTGCCTCAGCCTCTTGAGTGCTGGGATTACAGGTGTGTGTGCCCAACTATAGTGTAATTCTGAATGGAACCGAAAGAGTCTCTCTTGGGAAAAGGCTGTGAGATTCTGCTGCCTTTAACAGTAGTATGAGCTGCCAGGCCTGGTGACACACACCTATAATCCCAGCACTCAGGATGCTGAGGCACTCAGGATTGCTGTGAGTTCAAGGGCAACCTGGCTACATGGTGAAACCCTGCCTCAAAAAACAAACAAAGACTAATGTGAGCTGCTTGCTTTTCTGTCTGATCCAAATCTTGGGGCTACCAGCTAGGAAGAGAAGCAGTTTCTATAAAATCTTTGCTTTCTTCCTGCCTGCTTCTTAATGAATTCGTGAGTATTCCAAATTGGGCCTATATCAAGAACCCCTAGTAGGCTTACTTTTTCAGAGATTTTGTTCAAAAATGTCTTTGTTAGTATTCTCGTTTGCACATATTCGAACGCTTTTAGCAGTTGCTTTAGGTATTACAAAAAAAATTTCGAAGTGAGCCTCTTCCCGGATAAAGCCGGCTCTGTGTTGTGCAGGTCACAAACACTGGCTTCTGACTGGCAGCTTGGTGGCACTGGTGTAGATAGCTGTGCCACCAGTCAGCAGGCGCCGACAGAATCCAGGGCACACAATGGAAGCTTTTCCTACAGGGCAGTGGCCCATCCTGACAGAAGACTTGCGGCTTTGTTATGAATACCAAGTTTACATTAAGCTATTTTCAATTTCCAAACAGAAGCAGCACTCAGTCATGCTAGAGAAAGCAAACAGGAGAACCAAGCTGGCGGTAGTTTATGTGCTGTCATATCGGAGGGAACAAAATGGGAAGCCCATTATCCTGGGGATCGATTGTGTTTCCCCATCCATCAGGCAGCGGGAGAGAACCGCTCTGTACATTCTAAACAGGGAGGACAGAAGTCACAGAGGAGACGAGAGTGTGGCGGGGCCAGAAATGCAGGTGTCCGGCCCTCCTGATACGGCTGCTGGCTCGGAGACTGTTTTGTCTCCACGGATGAGTGCGGCCCAAGGACCAATGTAGGGGTTGCTGATTTCAGCCACTGCTCCCTGAGTTTTCCCTGCCTCTGGGTTGTGGCCCACGACTGGCCTTCTCCTGGGGACTGCAGATCACTTGCATCTAGGAACTCAGTAAATCCCCACTTTGGGGCCGGGGTTATAGCTCCTGGGCACCAGGCATGAGGTCATGAGTTGAATTTCTGGTACCCTAAAAACAAAAAAAATCCTCACTTTTCAGGGCACAGCTGTTACCCAACATCCATCCTTCAAATGGACTGAGCCTTTCAAAATCCAGTTTCTCCAAGTCTGCACTATCACGCGGGTATCATTACTCAGACCTGTGAGGCGCACTAGGGTCGGGCCTGGGCTCATACAGCACACAGGAAAAGAGGGAGAAGTGAGTGGAACACAGGTCTCCCCAGGAAAGGACTCTGGGGAGATTCTCAGCCCCCGAGGGTGTATGACCAGTCTTTTGGTGGTTTGCTGTTACTTCTTGCTGTTCTAGAGAATCCAAAGCATTATGTATTCACGATGAGTGCTACCGAGAAAATCATATATTTGCATATGTACTTTTGGCAGCCTAGGTTGTCTGAGGATTTTGAATATGTGTGTGGATTGAAAATTGTGTTTCTTTTTGTTCCTTTAGATCTGAAAGGCTTCAACTCTGTACCCTAGATCACAAGAAGAGAGTCACCCTTTAACAGTAGGTAAAATCAAAATTTATTACATGTTTGTATTTAAAAATAGCCTTTTAAAAGAAGGTGACGATTCTTTGCACTATATAATTGTAAACCAAGTTAGCTTTTATATGTTCTGCTGTGTAATTTACCAGTCAGTTGAAGCTCATAGTAACAGATTTGTCTAAGACAAAGGAAAGATAGGAAAATGACCCAGAAGTTAATACTGCAGATCGTAAACAAGAAACCTCTTTTACAGTCCTCTTCTTTTTCTACCCAAGTAATAATTGCAAGTACATTTATTATGATGTTTATAATTGAGGTAAATGCCAGTATGCGTTGCCTGGTCACCAATCTCTGACACACTAGAGGAAGTGGCTTTTTGGGATGAAATAGGATCTGCAGAGGAGAGGCCGTTGCCGGCACATGGTGCCCCACATTGACACGCCTTCCTCTCTGTCTGGATTGGAGTGTGACTTCAGTGGCTGAGCATTCGTACCTTCATGGCTGCATCCTAGGGTTCAGACAAGGCCTGTAGTCCCCAAGTGCATCTGGGGAAGACAGGAGATGTGCATACTTTATGAGCGTAGGTAGTTTTAGGACTCTTGATTGCAGTCAGTATGGGAAGTCACAGAATGGCTCATTTTCCTGAACTCTGTAGTGAAACAAGCTGCACACTGAAAATAAGAACTGTCAGATAGATGGACACGAAAGCTAATCCAGAGTGATGTGTGCTCAGGTGGGGTGGGCATACACAAGTGTTTCTTCACTTGGTGCCGGAAAGGGCCCAGCTGTAGAGCCCTCCCTGCAGCAAACCAGACGTGGTTTCCAAATATTATGTCATTTTCTAAGAACTTGGGATGCTTTGGAGAAGTGGTCAGTGCTACAGCCAGGACCAGGACAGTTCAGCCTGCAAGTGCCAGGGAGGGAGGGGTGAGGCTGAAAGAGCTCGCAGGGGCCAGAGCTGGCGGGTTTCAGAGTGAGTGACTATAGGGTTGGAATCACCAAATATGCACAGTGTTCAGTCTGATGCATGGAAAGGACTGAATAAATATGTAAGGAAATGGAGATAGAGAACGCTGTCTTACAGAAGCATCAGCAAATCCCAAAATTAATGTGTGTGAGGTGAAAGGTTAAGGAGAACAGGATACAGTATTTGCATAATCTCAAAGTATTTACCCCAAATGTGTATTGATTACAAAAGGAAAAATAACTCTGCAGTGGAAAATACTGGCAGATGCCACGACAACCAAGTGGCCAGATCAGCCAGTAGTGACAAGAGGAACTGAGCCCCTGTCCCCATGTACAGTGTCCTGACACCTGGTGCCTTCAGCCCCCTTCCCTATGCGGTAGTTGGCGAGCTGAGACAAACCCCAATGGGGAAACAGCTCATAGCTCACCTGTGCCCGGGAATGCAGAGGCCAGGAAGGGGTCAGGAGCTGTGACAGATGGACAGGTGTGGCAGCTGAATGCCACGTGGGACCCTAGAACTGAAAAGGGACATTTAGGGGACAACTGGCGAGGGCCTGGGGATGGAACTAAACCCTTGAATGTGCTAGGCAGCCACTCAGCCCTGAGCCACACCCCAGCCATCAAATAAGAAGTTGCCAAAAAGCCACAGTGGAGTCGCCGCCTGATCCTTCTTGCTAAGTTTTCAGTTTTCGGTAACTTGTGGAGCAGCTCTGTTGCTTGTGTGAAATCCTAGATGCAGGAGGCAGGGGCATCCTTTTCATCTGGGCTGTTTGTGAGCTGTGTTTGGAAATTCTCTTTTCAGCTGGGTTGTTCGAGGGCTAGATATTAAACTTAGGGCAGGCCAAGTTCTCACTCCCCTCGGAGACCTGTGAGCGGGTCACTCCGTGGGGCTGGGGCACAGCTCACAGGACAGCACTAGCCCAGCTCCACCGTCCCTGCAAAGAAGAAACCAAACCGAAACACAGCTTGTCAAACTGCACTTCCTAGGAACCCCGCTGAGCCGCAGTTTCAGGTGGGGGCAGCCAGGTGCCAGGGCAGTGTTCCAGCCGGAACTGTGATGTGTCTGGTCTCCTGGATCATCCCTTGGGTCACAGTCTGCATCAGCAAGACAAGACTTAACCCAGACCTTAGTCTCCTATTTGAACGGTGAGATGGCCTTGTTTTTAGGTAAAATGTGTAGGAATCTTGTGAGCACAGGCAATGCTGAGCAAACAGATGCCGAAAGGAAATCAGCGACAACAGGAAGACTGCCTACAGAATTTACTTAGCCTTAGAAAAGCCTGACTCCGTTTAAAACAGAAATACTTTGGCATCTAAAAATGAGTGGGCTAAACTCATTGTTTTGATATGAAAACCGAAATATGAAGTGCTTTGAATCTGATCCTGATTTTGGGGGGGAGGGGCTGGCACTGCTTTGTGCCTGCAGCCGTTTCAGCAAACTATGTGTCCCAGTTTTAGGGTGAAACACGTAAAAACAGAAGATCAACCTAAAGGAGCTGGAGAGAGAGAGAGAAGAAGAAGGAGAAGTGAGGAAGGGAGGGAGGAAGAGGGAGAGGGAAGAGAGGGGAATGGAGGCAGTTTCAGTTTTGCATTCGGCAGATCAGTCCTACAGCGTTGCCACTGACCTTTACCCTTTAAAATTTATGCAAAATAAATAATTTTTGTTGTGTCCATTTGACCACAATTTTGAAAAAGTAAGAAAGAAATAACAGAAGTCTTCGGTGCTTCCATTCTGCCAGGGCGTCCACCTTGAGGACAGCTTCTGCTTGGGGACATTTATCCTTAAGAAAGTTTTTTAATGTAGTGAGGATTCTCTGGACACGATTTATCTACTGACAGTCTGACTCACTCCTGTGCCTTAAGCCACACAGCTGAAAAAGAGAAGGCCTGGTGCACAGGAAACAGCAGGGCGGGTGGTCGGGACAGCAGACTTGTGGGGTTAATTCATACCCAAGACAGATGAATCTATAGAAAGAAGAAAGCCCCGTAAGAAATATGTTAAGTGATGGTGAAGGAGAAAAGGGTTTCAGATGAAAGATACCTGAATTCCTTTGGTCTCAGGTCTTTTACGACTGAGGAATTCAATTATAGGTGTGCTGCGCGGGGCAGGTCACAATTCCATAGATCACTACCAGGACACACAGTCCTTATCGTCTCTGTCGTCTCTGTCGTCTCTGTCCATGCTCACCGGCAGCCAATGACAGGGCCTGCCCTCCGGACACGTGGCCTGGCCACCCTTCGGCCTGAGTCACAGGGTTCTGAGGCCCAGCACAGATCAGATCGTCGGGTGGGCAGGTGGTACATAGTTCCCTTGGGACTACGATTGGGAACTCCGTCAGCTTCCTTCCGAATTTTAGCTATGGAGTTTGTTTCATTTTACATTGTTTTTTTTGTTTTGTTTTGTTTTGTTTCTTTTTGGTGGTTCTGGGGATTGAAACTGGGGCCTTGTACGTGCAAAGTACATGTCTTGCCATTGAGCTACAATTTAGCTCATGCTAATTTCTTTTAAATTTATTACTGAATAGCTATGAAAAAGATGGCTCATTTATATAAAAACTATTCTTACTTCCTTAATTTCTTCCAGTTCTTGTTAATATGTCTGTCTATCTGTCTATCTTTCTGTTGGTAATGGGCATTGAACCCAGTGCCTTCATGCTGACCTGCATTCCCAGGCTTTTTTTATTCTTTATTCTTGAGACAGGGTTTCACTAAGTCACTCGATTTCCCCGGCAGGGATGGAATTTTCGATCCTCTCGCCTCAGCTTCCCACAGTACTGGGATCACAGGTGTGTGCTGCTGTGCTCAGTTCTGTGCACATTTATTTACTGGCAGAGTCCAGGTAGCACTTTGACTCTTTTCTTTCCCTGCTGGATCAATGCGCCCTTCGCTCTGTTTCTGCCTGGCTCTCAGATGTGTCCGGAGGATCTGTCTTAGTGACATTACTTGGTTTACTAAACCAGGTTTCAGGTGTTTACAGTTATTCTACAGTTGCCGTCCTGCTGACCCTGATCTTCTTGCAGACCATACATCTCTTCAGGTGCTTATTTCATTTCATTTGAAGTTATTTTCTTCAGATAGATTGCCAGGAGGAGAGTGCGGCAGGGAAAGTGCCCTGGCAGCTGCCCTACTCCTACATTTCTGGTTTTCGTGACCAGCACGCTGGCCCTGGACACATTAGTAGCAAAGCCTTGCAGGATAAGGGCTAGCGGCTTCTGTCTGTCCTTCTGTCTGTCCGTCTCAGTGCACTATCATTTTCTGCAGCTGTGCTGCAGTGGAGGCCAGAGGGTGTGCCAGTCATTTAAGGAGCGGATACATACCAGGGCTTTGGTTGTTGAAAGGAAAGTTGCTATTATTTACCTCTGCCAGGTGGAGTTAAGTAAAACGTAAAGACTGTGCTACAGGTCCCTCAAGGTTTTTTAAGGCCTTGTGTGACTAATTCATAGGAAGCAACCGCTGCTTTTTGAAAATGCAGGTTTAACAAAGTAGAGCTTCCATGTGGATGAATACAAATCAACTTTTTAAAAAATGTTTAAAGTCAACGATGTTAGAGGCCTGGGGTGTTGCTCAGCAGCAGAGACCCTGCTTGCCCAGCAAGCATCACAGAGGGAAAAGTATATTTGACGTTTTGGTTTGAATATTTGAGGGAATTATTTTATTTTATTTATTTATTTTTTGGTACCAGGGATCACACTCATGATCTTGTGCTTATCAAGCAAGTGCTTGAGATACTGAGCTAAATCCCCGGCTCTCGAGGGAATAATGTTACAATAAAGATAGCATAGGAAAATTAATGTCTTTTAAAATAAAGAGCGGGGCATCATGGCTCCCGTTTATCATCTCAACACTCAGGTGGCTGAGGCAGGAGGAGCAGAGTGAGTTCAAAGCCAGCCTGAACTGCAAAGACCCTGTCTCAAAACAACAATGAATGAATGAATTGGTTATTTAAAAATAAGCAAAATGTATTAAAATGAATAAACAAGTGTTATGGTGAAATTATTATTATTTTTTAACTTTCTGCTTGAGGTTAAAGGTCATCTCTATCTTACTTTCCTCAGTTT